CACTGAGCTATACCTCTAGCCCTTTTTATTTTTTCTTACAAGACAGGGTCTCACTAAGTTGCTGAGGCTGGCCTCAAAATTGCAGTCCTCAAAATTGCAGTCCTCAAAATTGCAGTCCTCCTGCCTCAGTCTCTTGAGTCTTGGATTACAGGCATGTACCACCATGCCAGATGTTGCCTGGCCATTTTGACATATTTTCCATTTTTTAAAATACCACCCTCCGGGTCTTGTCCATAAGTACATCTTTTTTAAAATTTTTATTTTTTAGTTGTAGATGGACACAATACCTTTATTTTATTTATTAATTTTTATGTAGTGCTGAGGATCAAACCCAGTGCTTCACACATGCTAGGCAAGTGTTCTACCACTGAGCCACAACCCCAGCCCCGTAAGTACATCTTTTAACACAGTGGCAGTCTGGTGTACATCCTACTTTATATCATTTTCCCCATTAAAATAACTTTTATGCTACATGTTTGTAAAATTTAATAATAAGAAGTTGGGAGAAACAGAAACTTTTTATTGTGTGCAGGTACCAGCTAGGTGAATTTTCTGGGTTTATCTCTGCCTGTCCTCCCTACAACCTTCCCACTTTCTTTCTAGATTAGCAATCAACCCTCTCTCCTTGTCACCTGCCCATAGCTTTCTTCACACAATTGACTAGGCTAAATGTGTGTATGTACATGTGTATTTTAAGTCCTCACAACATATCATCATCTTAAAATCTTCCAAACCCTTCATATAGCATGCACCATTGCTTGCTGGTCCTTTTTGTACCATTGCTGGCTTTCATAATGCAGTTTTCCCAACCACTGTTCCTCTCAAGATTCCTGGCTGCCTACCCACCCCATGGCAAAACTTTCTTTGACATCTTTCTCCCTGACTTCCTACCCTTCAACTCACTTAGTGGCTATATTCTAAATATGCTTTCACAGAGAAGCCTTAAGTTATGTCAGCATACTTTATTGCACTCAGACTTTTTCACTTCCAAAGTCTTTATTACCCTCCTCCAATAGTCATACCCCATTTTTCTTCCATTTTCACAATTCTGTACCCTCTGTTATACTCATTGTCTGCAATATTATTTCTCTACCTTCTTGTCTCTTGGATCCTTTTTTTTAATTCTTTCCCACCCCTTTCTTTTGGTGCCTTCCCAGCCCCAGTTTTCTATCTTTTGTCAGTTATCTTTCTGCCTTTCACTTTTAATTTTATTCAGAAGCACTCAAATGAATAACATACACATTATCAGAGCATGAGCCTTTGGAGAGTTTATGTAGTATTCATTTGAGTGCTTCTAAATAAATACATGCTTTTCAAAACAGTGGAATTTAAACTAATATCATAGAAATAACCCCCGAGAAGATGACATCTCCTCTTGAAAGCTTCGGATAGAGATTCTCCTGCTCCTGTACAATGATAGAATTTGATCTGCTTTATTTGAAATGGGGTGACTACTTGAACCTCACAAAATATTCACCATTATGAAATGAGATCTTAGATTTTGTAATTCTATTTTGATTGACCTGAGAAATAAAACTTATCCCTTTAGGGAAGGTAATTTTCACATGTTTTGGATTATATTGAGCACTTATTCTTCAGGATAATTACAGACTTGAAAATGTTTAGTCTCCTAGTCTGAAGTCCCTGTCAGTAACAGGAGGAACTCATAATCTACAAGACAACCCAATCCATTTTGAACTACTATTGATTGTTTTAAGGTTCATTCTTGTATTGGGTTAAAATGTACTGGTTATGGGCTGGGGATGTGGCTCAAGCGGTAGCGCGCTCGCCTGGCATGCGTGTGGCCCGGGTTCGATCCTCAGCACCACATACAAACACAGATGTTGTGTCCGCCGAAAAACCAAAAAATAAATATTAAAATTCTCTCTCTCTCTCTCTCTCTCTCTCTCTCTCTCTCTCAAAAAAATGTACTGGTTATAATTATTGACCTTAATTTTGCCCTCAAGTTACACAGAATTTGGATCCCCTTTCCATATAACAGCCTTTTAGATATCTTAAGGTAGTTATTCTATCCTCTATACTCTTTCCCTCAGAAATGTTTCCCCCTTTGGGATAAACATTCTCAGCTCTTCCAACTGTTCCTCATATGATATCATTTTCATCATACTGATTGCTCTCTAAGGACATTAAAATGTGTTTGGAACAGGAAATAATATTCCAGTGTAGCTGAATTGGACCTGGATGTTGCACATCTGGACACTAATGCAGCCTGAAGTTGTTGTAAGTTTTTTAGCAGCCATGTAATGTTGGCTTATAATGAATTTGTAATTAACTAAAATCCCAAGGTTTTTAATCTGGAGGTTTGCCTTCATATGACTTTGTTCCAAATCAAGTCTCCATCTTCCTTAGTTATGCTGCAGATTTTTATTAAAGCAGAATATTGTAATTGACATTGCAGTAAACTGACGTATGGTTCACTCTTAAAAAAATAAAAGTAAAAGCAAAATATAAGATTTTACACTTATCCCTATTAAATTTTATCTCACTAGCCAGCCAGCCAGTCTTTGTTCCTTTGAATCTTGGTTTTTATCATCTAGTTTATTATTGCTGATTCAACAAAGGACTTTGAAGCTAATGTCAGAATGTTTTCAGATATCTGTAAAATGTTAATGAAAAGTCATTATCTACTTTATGCAGATTGAACTTAGCTCTTGAGGAATATATGGATTAATCCCAGTGTAAATTGACAAGACTCAGAAAATCTGAAGTTCATTGAAGAGATATGGATAATTATTTCTAAGAAATCAATGTACATATGAAGTAGAGACAGTCATTGTAACCATGCCTTTTAATATATTTTAAAAATTTTAATTGATGTATTTATGGGGTATAGTATGGCATTTCACTACATGTATACAATGTGTAATGATCAGATCAGGAAAATTGTCATCTCATACATTTATTTTTCTTTGCATAGGAAACATTCAAAATCCTGTCTTCTAGCTATTTTGAAACATTCAGCTAATTGTTATGGACCATGTTAGCCCTATAAAACATTAGAAGTTATTTCTCCTTTTAAATTGTACCCTGTGAGGTGTGTGTGTGTGTGTGTGTGTGTGTGTGAGATTTTTGTTCATTCATCCATCCATGGGCAACTATGTTGATTCCATATCGTGACTGTTGTGAACAGTGCTGTATAAACCTGCAAGTCTCTTTAATATAGTGATTTCACCAGTAGTAGGATTGCTAGACCATATGGTAGATCTGTTTCTGTTTTTTTGAGGAGTCTGCATGTTGTTTTCGATAATGATACTGGTTTACATTTCCACCACAGTGAGAGTTCTCCTTTCCCTATATCCTCACCAGCATTTATTGTTTTTTGTCTTTTAGTTAATAGCCATACTAACTTAAGGTGTGAGGTGATATTTCATGTGTTTTTTTTTTTTTTTTTTTTTGTCTTTTGGAACTGGGGGTCAAGCCCACAGCTTTGTGAATGTGAGGCAGACACTTTGCCACTTATCTGCATCCCAGCCTTTCATGTGGTTTTGATTTGCATTTCTCTTTATGATTAGTGATGTTAAACATGTTTTCATATGCTTGTTGACTGTGTATCCTCTTTTGATAAATATCTATTAAGGTCATTCACCCATATTTTAATTGGTTGTTGGGTTTTTTGTTTTGTTTTTATTTTGTGCTGTTGAGTTTTTTTGTGACCCTTTTCTTTTGCATCTGACAAAAATAAACTGAACACAGTATCAGGCAATGTGGAAGATTCTGGAGAACCAGGTTTACCTCATAGCTGGAGTGACTACTTACTCTGGTTTGCCTGGGGAAAACCTGATAAATGCTTTTTGTTTTTTTATAATTATTAGTAGCATCATTTTTCACTTTCAAAGTGTCCAGGTTTGGAGGATAAATTATTTTGCTACCTTCTCATAACCTAAGTGGCTCCTTTTAGTATTTTATCTGGGTTAAATATTACACAGCTGTAATTTAGCAGCACTAATGAGGCTGCCAAATTCTCTCCTATTTGAACAGATTGTTCCTTGGCCATGGGAAGTTGGTAGCAAAACTGCCTGCAATTAAGGTCTGCAAATACTTAGGATTTTTCTTGAGCTACCCTCTAGAGGGCAGTATTTTATATGGCTATATCTATAGCTATCTGGAGTGATCTGATTCCAACAAAAATGGACTCTTGTTTATTTATGCAGAAAAATTAGAAGTATTTGATGCTTTAAAATAATGGAACCAATATTGTGGATACCTTATTTTTTGCTAAGCAAAAAAGTAAGGAAATATTAGAAATTAATTCATTAACATTCTGAACATTCGTTTCTCTTTCAATTGTAAAAACTGAACTTTGATGCCTTGAATATACAATGATCCATTATAACAATTATGCATAGACTTTAAGAATCTGAATATTTTGTGCTTCTTTCATGTTTTTCCTAATTAAAAATGATTTTAGATGTTTAATAATTATAACATATTCTGTATCACAGTTTTCATATTTATATAAAAATAAGAATTTAATAGTTTGTTCTTCTTGCTTAAATATTACTTTCCTCAAAAAGAGAAAACAGGCCAGGTACAGTGGTCCATGCCTGTAATCTCAGCTACTCAGGTGACTGAGGTAGGAGAATCCCAAATTTAAGGCCCACCTGGGCAATTTAGAAAGACTGTCTCAAAAATACTAAAGAACTAGGGATGTGGCTTAGTGGTAGAGTACTTGCCTAGCATGTCTAGAAAGAGCAGAGAGAATAAAAAAAGAGTTGGGGATGTAGCTCTAGTGGTAAGGTGCTTATCTTGCATGTATGAAGCTCAATCTCCAGCATCACCAAAAAAGAAAGAGAAAAAAATAAATACCAGATTATATGATTTGAATGGTGTGGTAATGTAGAATTCTAGTATTTAGAATTAGAAAGTGTTTTAGTGATTGTGTAGTTATTTTTAGTCAATAATTTGTTAGCTCCTAATATCAAAAGTATATTGCTTATGTTTCACATTTTGGATTTCCTAATGTAATGTTCTCTTTTTAGAAAAGGTGGACAAATCCTATTTTCAAGAGAAGATGACTTTTAACAGTTTTGAAGGATCTAAAACTTGTGTACCTGCAGACATCAATAAAGATGAAGAATTTGTAGAAGAGTTTAATAGATTAAAAACTTTTGCTAATTTTCCAAGTAGTAGCCCTGTTTCAGCATCAACACTGGCACGAGCAGGTTTTCTTTATACTGGTGAAGGAGATACTGTGCGGTGCTTTAGTTGTCATGCAGCAGTAGATAGATGGCAATATGGAGACTCAGCAATTGGAAGACACAGGAAAGTATCCCCAAATTGCAGATTTATCAACGGCTTTTATTTTGAAAATAGTGCTGCACAACCTACAAATCCTGGTGTCCAAAATGGTCGGTACAGAGTTGAAAACTATCTTGGAAGCAGAAATCATTTTGGTTTAGACAGGCCATCTGAGACTCATGCAGACTATCTTTTGAGAACCGGACAGGTTGTAGATATATCCGACACCATATACCCAAGGAACCCTGCCATGTGTAGTGAAGAAGCTAGATTGAAGTCATTTCAGAACTGGCCAGACTATGCCCACTTAACCCCCAGAGAATTAGCTAGTGCTGGACTCTACTACACAGGTATTGATGATCAAGTACAGTGCTTTTGTTGTGGTGGAAAACTGAAAAATTGGGAACCTTGTGATCGTGCCTGGTCGGAACACAGGCGGCACTTTCCTAACTGCTTCTTTGTTTTGGGCCGGAACATTAATGTTCGAAGTGAATCTGATGTTGTAAGTTCTGATAGGAATTTCCCAAATCCAACAAATCCACCAAGAAATCCAGCCATGGCAGAGTATGAAGCACGGATCATTACTTTTGGGACGTGGATATACTCAGTTAACAAGGAGCAGCTTGCAAGAGCTGGATTTTATGCTTTAGGTAAACATAACCAATAAATAACTTTCCAACTATTCCAGGGCTCTTAAAAAATTAAGAGATGCCTTTAACCCCCTGAACTGGTAAATATTTTGGTATAAGCTGGTGTGCTTATTTATATCAGTATTATTCTCTGATCTCTTAAGTTGAATCTGTAATGTCACTACTAAATTTATGTAAAAAAGTCTACCATGATGGCTGGGAATGTAGCTCAGTAGTAGCCTAGCACACACAAGGCTCTGGGTTTAATTACCAGTACTGCAAAAATAAGAAAGAGGGAGAGAGAGACTACCATGTTATGAATCATGTTTACAGTCATGTAAATGTTTTTTAAGAGTGTGAAAATAGGCAAATGATATATATCGCTGATATAAAATGGGTCTAATAGTAACACTAGCTATCATTTTTTGAGCATCTACTACATGTGCTCAGTACATATTACATGAATTTTCTCTAAGCTTCATGACAACCCTGTAGAAAGAATTAACATTTAAGAGTTTAGTTTTGGGGGCTGGGGTTGTGGCTCAGCGGTAGAGCACTCGCCTGGTATGTGCGAGACGCTGGGTTTGATTATCAGCACCACATAAAAAGATAAATAAAGGTATTGTGTCCAACTACAACTAAAAAAAAGAGTTTTGTTTGGCCTGTATATCAACTATATATTTGAAAGCTTCCCTGTATTGTATTTTTGCTTCAAATGAATGCGTTTCAGATAGATGTTGTGGATGTGTCAGGAGGGGTCATTAGTGCGATGGGTTCCAGAAATATTTTTTATGGTTATTATATCTGACCCATTAATTTTAGGATTGAATAATGCCAAAATGCAAAATACAAGTTATTTCAAAAATTTTCATTTATATAGTAATCATCATATGTCTTAAAAGTTTGCTTAGTGTCATGCAGCTATCACCTTAGAGCAACTTATCTTGTAATTTCATTGCTGAACTTTGTTGTTATTAATGCTTGGAACATAATTTATTTTAAAGTTTTATAATTTGATAAAATAAATGCAATATTAATAGCTCAAGTAACACACATTAAAAATAATATAACAATTAGTTTTAACATAAAAATTGGTCAGTATTAGCTGGGTGCTGTGACATATACCTGTAATCCCAGTGACTTGGTAGGCTGAGGCAAGAGGATCACAAGTTTGAGGCCAGCCTCGGCAACCTAGTGAGGCCCTAAGCAAATCAGTGAGACCCTGTCTCAAAATAAAAAATAAAAAGGGCTGGAGATGTGGTGTAATGGTGACGCTCCCCTGGGTTCAATTCTGTTACCAAAAAAAAAAAATGGTCACTTTTATTTTTTAGTTGTCTTTTGTTAAATATCTCAGATCAACTCATTGAGTTCCATGTGTATTTCCTCCTAAAATAAATAAAGATCAGCCTGACATGGTGGTGCATGCCTGTAATCCCAGTGGCTTAGAAGGCTGAGGCATGAGGATGGCAAGTTAAAGGCCAGCCTCAGCAACTGAATGGGACCCTGTCTCAAAATAGAAAGGACTAGGGATATAGTTCAGTGGTGAATCGCCTCTGGGTTCAATTCCTGGTACTGGGCGGGGGGGGGGGGGGACTTATCTACTACTTAGATGCAAATATGAAAGTGCTGAGATTTTTATGTAATTTAGATATGTTTAAGTTGTAGGTGTTAGAATAGATGTTTTTGTATAAGCTTCTAAATGCACAAATGCATGTATTTGTACTGGTGTTTTCTTAGGTGAAGGTGATAAAGTAAAGTGCTTTCATTGTGGAGGAGGGCTAACGGATTGGAAGCCCAGTGAAGACCCTTGGGAACAGCATGCTAAGTGGTATCCAGGGTAAGATGTTTAATGATTTTTTATGTGATGCCTGGGATGTAACCCAGGACCTCATGTATGCTAGGCAGGTGCTCTACCATTGAGCTACATCCCCAGCCCCAAGGAAGATGCTTAACTGTTCATTCAGTAACAGACAAGTTGGACAGTATACAATGGAAAGACTTGAATTACTTTTCACCTCAACTATTTTTGCCTTTGCTGTGTATGGCTTGAAATCTGTATGATGTTTATTAAAGTGGGATCACCTGCATTATTAAAAAAATTACCTAAGCTGCCTCTTGTGGCCAAAACATTCACTGCATAAATGTCTGAATATCTGTGACATTCAGATTGTCCCATTTCTAAACACCAAATTAGAAATTGTATACTTTTTTATTTATTGGAAGTAGGCTTTTTTATGACAGGCTTAAGAGAGCTTGTGTTGCCAAGGAGAGTCCTGAAGAACCTATCATATGCCCTAGGAAATACTAATGGGTTTCACTAATTCTTTTTTTGTGGGGAGGGGGGGAACCAGGGATTGAACTCAGGGACACTCGACCACTGAGCCACATCCCCAGCCCTACTTTATATTTTATTTAGAGACAGGGTCTCAGTGAGTTGCTTAGCACCTCACTTTTGCTGAGGCTGGCTTTGAACTTGCAATCCTCCTGTCTCCTGAGCTGCTGGGATTTCAGGTGTGCGCCACTATTTTAAGACCTCTGAAATCAGGACACAACTGGTGGTGGGTCATAATTAATTAGCAGTTTTAGGTGGTATATTAAATAATCATGCTTCTTACTGTAAGTGGCATCTTAGGATGATGATATACCCCTAAATGTCTCTTTGCCATCTTGCCTCTTTAAAATAATGTACTCAGGTATAATAAGTGATGTGAATTTCTGGCCTACAAAATGACAGCTTAAAACTTGAGGGTGATTATTTGAAAAGACACCTTACCCTTAAACGACTTTAAAAGGAAAGCTTGAAAATGAAGATTTTTAAATATACATACAACTGGTTAATCCTCTAAATAAAGTCCTATTAAAAGGAGTGACAACTTTAAACTTTAAAAAATAAGTCAAGGTGCTAATTCAATAATTCATGCTTAAAAGTTGAAAGTTCTCAGGTTGGTATTTTTTGTTCTACCAAGTCTTATCTATTAGCATAAGTAACGTAAGAAATGGAAAAATTTTTTAACCTTAAAATGACAGTTGGCTAGGGCATTGGGCAACCTTTTACTTTTTGTGGCTCCTTAGAAATAACAGAAAGCAATTAATGGAATTAACATGATGGAGATTCTATCTTTACTAATTTATCAGCTACTAAAGTTTAGTGTTATTATATTGTTTAGGTGTAAATATCTGTTGGAAGAAAAGGGACAAGAATACATAAACAATATCCATTTAACACATTCACTTGAAGAGTCTCTGGTAAGTCCCTTGTTGTATAATATGTATTTTTGAATAGTGTATAAATTTGTTTTACAATTGTTTCCTCATGTAAAATTATCGGTATAGTATCATAAGTTAATAATGTGTGGTGAAATTTAAAGGGGAGAACTCAAGGGGAGATTTATATTCTTGAAGCAAATTTGTGAAAAGGGTATTGGGATGAAATGACTTTGAGTATCACTGCAGACAAAAATGGGATTGAAGAACCAAAATATTGAAGTCCCTTACTCTTTTGAAATTATCTTTGTATAATGTACTTTGCATTCATAAGTAGTTTTAACCTTTTTGCAGATAATATTTAAAATCTCAAAATGTATCTAGGCTGGGTATGGTGGTACATGCCTGTTGTCCCAGCTACTCAGAAGCTTGAGACAGAAGAACCATAAAATCCATGACCATTCTGGGCAACTTAGTGAGAATAGTCTCAAAACAAAACAAAAGTTGGGGTATAGCTCAGTGGTAGAGCACATGTCTTTGCATGTGAGAGATCTTGGGTTCAATCCCCAGTACTACAAATCAAAAAGAAAAAGAAAAGGTATCTAAATTGATAAAGGATAAACTGGATGTTAGTAATACATGGAAAGACTCCTGATCTAGAATGAGAGACCAGAGTTGTTAGGATGACTCTAGCCTTAATTACATTATCTCCATGAAGTCATTTAATCTCCTTGGGCCTCAGTTTCTTGTTTGTGAAGTGAGAAGATTGGATTAGATATGTTTTAACTTTTATCAAGTTGTGTCTCTTCTGAATATTCATATTTTTAATTGGAGTAATGTCAATTTATTTCAATTTTTTTTGAGAATTTTAATATTTATTTTTAGTTTTTCAACAGACACAACATCTTTGTTTGTATGTGGTGCTGAGGATCGAACCCGGGCCGCACGCATGCCAGGCGAGCGCGCTACCACTTGAGCCACATCCCCAGCCCCTTCAAATTTTTGATTAATGTAACTTTTCAAATTGAGATAATTGCCTACTACCATAAAGAATTCTTGTTTACAATTTATATTTCTATTTTAGGTAAGAACTGGAGAAAAAATGCCATCACTAACTAAAAGAGTTGGTAAATATGCTTATTAAAATTAATATACTTTTAATTTCACTGACAATTTATTATAGTTGTTATTTATGGGTTGAAAAACTAAGCATAGTCTTTCATAATATCACAGTATATTGGTTAGAGATGAGATTGCTATAAATTTACGAATTTAATGAAGTGCTTATAAATTTAATCAGGTATTTCTATATTAATATTAGTACAATCTGGGCACTATGGCATGTGCCTGTAGTCCTAGCTATTTGGGAGGCTGAAGTGAGAGGGTTGCTTGACTCTGGGTCAGCACAATTCTATATAAAAAAATTAATTTTCTAGGGGCTGGGGTTGTGGCTCAGTGGTAGAGGGCTTGCCTTGCATGTGTGAGGCTCTGGGTTTGATCCTCAGCACCACATAAAAATAAACAAATAAAGGTATTGTGTCCAACTACAACTAAAAAATAATATTAAAAAATTAATTTTCTAAAAAAAAGAATGTTGAGCCCAGCACAGTGGTGCATGCCTGTGATCCCAGCAGGAGGCTGATGCAGGGGGATCGCAAGTTCAAAGCCAGCCTCAACAACTTAGCAAGGTCCTAAGCAACTCAGCAAGCCCTTTTCTCTAAATAAAATACAAAAAGGGCTGGGGAATGTGGCTCAGTGGTTAAACACCCCTGGATTCATTCCCTGGTACCAATAAATAAATAAAGAGTTATCAGAGATGTGGCTTAGTGTAGAGAGATTACTTAGCATGTATGAGACCCTGGGTTCAATTCCTAGTACTGCCAAAAAAAAAAAAAAATCTGTGTAGCATGTGAATGTATATGTGTGTATCGGGGGGTACTGGGGATTGAACCCAGGACCTCAAACATTCTAGGCCAAGTGCTGTATTATTGAGCCATATCCCCAGCCCAAGGGTATAGCATATATTTTTAAAGTTATTCAGAAAGAATCAATAATGTAAATGTTGATAATTTTTGGTATTTAATCATTGTTACAGTATTTATTATTGTTTTATGATGAATGAAACTTTTGTTTTAGGTTAGGATTAATATCTTCAAATTGAGATATAATTTATATATCGTAAATTTATGATATATCAAGAACTATGTAATGTTTTGAACAACCAACAATAAAAAAATTTAAAAAAAAGTGTAATTCATTGTTTTTTAGTAAATTCATAAGGTTGTAAAACCATCACTCTATTTAATTGCACAACATTATCATCACAAAAGAAGTAAACCCCATACTGACCCATCAGCAGTCATTCTCCAGTCTTCTACTACCAGGCAATCACTAATCTATTTTGTGTCTCCATGATTTTTCCTATTTTGAAAATTTAATGTAAATAGAATCATGCAATATATGGTCACAGGTGTCATCCATGTTGTAGCATATATGAGTACTTCATTCTTCATTATATTTTGTGGTGAAAAATATTTCATTGTATAGATAATACCTTAATTTTTTTTATTCTGAGAAAGGTTCTTTTAAGTTGCTAAGGGTCTCACTAAATTGCTGAGGCGCTTTGAACTTGAGATCCTTCTACCTCAGCCTCTCAAGTCGCTTGGATTACAGACATGCACCACTCACGCAGTACTATGTTTAACCTTATAATGAACTACCATAAAGTTTTCCAAAGTGGCTACATCCTTTAACATTTCTACCAGCAGTGTGTAAGAGTTCCAGTTCTCCACATCTTTGCTAACATTTGTTATTGTCTGTCCTCTTTTTTATAGCCATTCTATCAGGTTGATGTGGTACTGGGTTTTGTTTTGCTCTTCCTCCATAGCCATTGATGTTGAATATCTTTTCTTGTGTTTATTGGTTCTTTGTAAAATCTTCTTTAGAGAAATGTCTGTTCATCTCCTTTGACCTTTTTTAGTTAGGTTGTCTTTTTATTATTGAACTCTAAGAACTAATTATATATTATAATTCTTTATATGTATGTGTGTGTATTTTCCAGATTTATGATTTTGAAATATTTTCTCTCATTCTGTAGGTTGTTTTTCATTTTCTTGTTGGTATCCTTAGAAGTACATTGTACAAAGTGTTTAATTTTGATGAAGTCCAATTTTTCCTTTTCTTGCTTATGCTTTTTTAGGGTGGGGAATACTGGAGATTGAACCCAAGGGCACTTTACAACTGAGCTATATCCCCAGCACTTTTTTTTTTATTTTGAGTTGCCAACACTGGCCTCAAACTTACAGTCTTCTATCTCAGCTTCCCATGTCTGGGATTACAGGAATATACCATTATTCCTAGCTTGTTGCTTATACTTTTGATGTTGTATTTAACCATTGCATATTTTCTGCTCCACAGAAATATGAAAAGAGTCATTGAATGAATAAAAATACTAAATGCATTAGTATTTGTGACTCAATGGTACCAGCACTTGCCTAGCATGCACAAAGACCTGGGTTCAATCCCTATCACTGCAAACAATTAAATAAATATTTATTGAGGTATAATATACAGACAGTAAAATGCTTTAAAGTATACTAATCGTAAATTTTCAACTCAAATTTAAGATGTATATATACTGTGTAACCATCATGTAGATCAAGATATAGAGCATTTCTTCTGTCCCAGAAAGATCCTTCAGGCTGCTTCCCATTCAGTATCCACCCACAAGTTATATTCTGGCTTCTATAACCATAAATTAATTTTCCCTATTACCATAGTTCAGTTTTGAACTTCTTAGTATATACTCTTATGTCTGGTTCATCATTTTGATGAATTTTGCTTTCTGTATCTATGAGATTCATCCATGTTGTTCGTGGCAATAGTTTGTTCTTTTTTATTCTATGTTGTATTTTAATATACCAAATTTTATTCATTTACCTGATGATGGACATTTGAATTATTCCCAGTTTGGGGTTATTATAAATAATAGTGTTATGAATATTCATGTGCATTTCTTTGGCAGAGATAAGTACTGGTTTCTAATAACCAGGAGTAGAATTGATGAGTCAATACAACTGTCCTCTCTTTATCTCTCTCTCTCTCTCTCTCTCTCTCTCTCTCTCTCTCTCTCTCTCTCTCTCTCTCTCTCTCTCTCCAGTAGTGGGAATTGCAAACCCAGGGGCATTCTTCCACTGAGCTACATCCCCAGCCCTTTTTATTTTTATTTTTTTTATTTTGAGTCAGGATCTCACTAAGTTGCCAAAGCTAGCCTTGAACTTGAAATTTGTCTGTCTATAAATTGCATTATAGGCATGTATCTCTGTGCCCAGCTGCAGTTCTCCTCCCTAAGGATTGCCCTATGTATGCTGTATTCTACTTTGAGTATTAGAACAGTGAATTTCCATTTACTTTCTTGTCTTATGTAATCTAACCCCCTTAGATAGAAACTAACTCTGACACCTAGCAAACAGACATTTGATGTCACAGACTGGGACTTCCCCAATTTTCCATGACTTTAAAAAAAAAAAACATTGGTAATGACTCAGCAATAATAGCTACTTTTTAAGTACCTTTGGTTAATTTGTACAACTGATTTGAAAAATATTCAGCTTTGCAAAACACTTTTCTTACCTGTTTGCCTTCTTTTACACTGTTGTATTTTAATATTTTGTTTTTGTTTTGTCATGCTAGGGATGGAACCCAGGGCCTCACTGATGCTAGGCAAGCACTCTACCATTGAACTACATTCCCGGCCTTATCACTGTCCTCTTTTCTTGGAACCTAGGAGGGGCACTTAACCACTGAGCCACATCCCCAGCCCTTTATTTGTATTTTATTTTGAGCACTGCATTGCTTAGGGCCTCACTAAATTTCTGAGGCTGGCTTTGAACTTTCAATCCTCCTGCCTCAGCCTCCCGAGCCTCTGGGATGACAGGCATGTTCCACTGCTCCTGGCTCCTATCACTGTCTTTAAAACCCTCAACTTGAATAATCCATAGTGTTAAAAAACTTACTGCATTTACAGTTATTTTTTTAATAAGATTCTGAAAGTGATGCTTCAGTGCCTGAATATTTCAGAAAAATTTTCCTTCCAAAGCAGCTTTGGTTTAATGGTTTGGGGTTGGTTGGTTGGTTTTATTTTTTGCTTGCTGTTTAATTTTTTTTATTATTATTATTTTTGGTACCGGGGATTGAACTCAGAGCACTCAGTCACTGAGCACATCCCCAGCCCTATATCTGTATTTTATTTAGAGATAGGGTCTCACTGAGTTGCTTAGCACCTCGCTGTTGCTGAGGCTGGCTTTGAACTCATGATCCTCCTACCTCAGCCTCCCAAACTACTGGGATTACAGGTGTGTGCCACTGCACCTGGTTGCTTGCTGTTCAGTTTTTTAAACTAATTTACTATTGGGTTGTTTTAATAATATTTATTTTGGGAGCTGGGGATATAGCTCAGTTGGTAGAGTGCCTCACATGCACAAGGCCCTAGGTTCAATCCCCAGTACCACAAAAAACCAATAATAATACAAAAAGTAATAATATTTATTTTAATTCTATTGTTTTTCCTCCCAATTTTCATTTCAGATGATACCATCTTCCAGAATTCTATGGTACAAGAAGCCATACGAATGGGATTCAGTTTTAGGGACATTAAGAAAATAATGGAGGAAAAAATTCAGACGTCTGGGAGCAACTATATATCACTTGAGGTTCTGATTGCAGATCTAGTGAGTGCTCAGAAAGAAAATACACAAGATGAATCAAGTCAAACGTCATTGCAGAAAGGTATGAATGGCTGTTTTTAAAAAGCAAGAAAAACCTAACCACTAAGTTTTGTTTAGTATCTCATATGATTCTAGCTCATTCATCCCCCCCCCCCACATCCCCTTTAGCATAGGGGGTCACTGTGGATTTAACCCAGGGGCAATTTACCACTGAGCTACATCCCCAGCCCTTTTTTTTTGAGACAGGGTCTCACTAAGTTGCTTAAAGCCTCACTAAATTAATCTCTTGTTATGAAAAATTTCAAATATACCAAAAGTGAAGATAACAGTGTAATGAACCTTCATGTATCCATCACCACTTTTCCAATTTTGTTGCATATTTTCCACAACTTTTTTTTTTGCTACAGTACTTCAAAGTAAATGCCAGACAGCCTATATATCATGATCTATAAATACTTCAATATATATCCAACAGATAAGGATGGTTTTTAAATGTAACTTTTACTGTGTCTATTACTTGGCTTAGTCTTCTGTAACAAAATATCACAGAGTGACTTAAACAACAGGTATTTGTTTCACACATTTCTGGAAGCTAGGAAGTCGAAAATCAAGGAGACCAGTTCCCCATGAGGGCCCTGAAGATGGCTGTCTTCCCTCTGTGTCCTCACATGGCAGTTAGGGGTTCGGAGTGGTGCATAAATGCTCTAGTCTTTCTTCCTCTACTTAAAAGGACACTAATCCCATCAGGAGGCTCTTACCTTCGTGACCTCATCTAAACTTAATTATAGTAATGCATTGCTTAACAGTGAGAATATAGTCTGAGAAATATATTTTTAGGCAGTCTCATTTTGCAAACATGAAGGCATATACTTATATAAACCTACATGGTATAGGTCAGTCACTCAACATGGCTGACTAATGCAATCAAGAGATTTGGTAAATATGAAATATTTGATATGAGGTTGCTTTGGGTTTGACATGCCAAACTGTTTTATGAAACATTTTTTAAAAATATTTTTTAGGGGGCTGGGGATGTGGCTCAAGCAGTAACGCGCTCACCTGGCATCCGTGGGGTGCTGGGTTCGATCCTCAGCACCACATAAAAATAAAGATGTTGTGTCCACCGAAAACTGAAAAATAAATATTAAAAAATTCTCTCTCTCTCTCTCTCTCTCTCTCTCTCTCTCTGTGCTCTCTCTCTTTTTAAAAATAGTATTTTTTAGTTGTAGTTGGACACAATACTTTTATTTTATGTATTTATTTTTATGTGGTGCTGAGGACCGAACCCAGGGCCTCACCCATGCTAGGCGAGCACTCTATTGCTGAGCCACAACCCCAGCCCCTTATGAAACATTTTTATAAGTAAAAGGAATACATCCTAAAATAATGAAAAAAGTTATCAAGTATTATGTACTGTGACTAATTGTGTATGCTATACTTTCATATGAATAGCAACTAAGCAGGTTGGTTTATATTACATCACCACAAACACATGAGTGTAATATATTGTGCTTGCACGTTAGGATGGCTGAGATGTCTCTAGAAAATAGGAATTTTTCAACTCCGTTACAACCACTACTAGATATGTGGTCCCTTGTCTGAAATGTATTTCTGTAGTATATGACTGTACTTTGCAAATACCATTACAATTAAAGATTAGGGCTTTAACAAGTATACCTTTTTTTTTTTTTTTTTTTTGAACCAGGGATTGAACCCAGTGCTTAATTACTGACCAACATCCCAGCCCTTTTTATTTTTTATTTTGAGATGGGGTCTCACAAAGTTGCTTAGGGGCTTGGTAAGTTGCTGAAGCTGCCTTTGAACTTGCAATTCTCCTGCTTCAGCCTCTCAAGCTGCTGGGAATTTAGTTGTGCACCACCATGCCTGGCTGTAACATACTGTTATCACACTTAGATGAAATTAACAGTAATTTCATCACATCATCTGAAACCAGTTGGTTTTATCCCTCCACCACCCCTTTTTTCATGATGCTGGGGATTGAACCCAGGACCTTGGGCACTATAGTAAAGTGCTCTACCAGTGAGCCACACCCCCAACCATTCCCATTTTAAGATATTTTCACAATTGACTTGTTCTAATCAGAATCTCCATAAGATTCATTGATTTATTAATTAAAATGAATTTATATTCTATTCGAGACAAAGAACAACAGAGGCTAACATCATTGTGTGTAGAATCTATAAGTTTTGTAGTTGAAATAGTTTGGTTTTAGATTGTTTTATAACTTTTGTATATGAAAATATGAAGGGGTCATTTTATTAAATAAACTTTGAATAAATGGCACTCTAATACTATAAATCATATATAGGAAGTGTAGTAAATAATGTAGAATAAATGCATTTAACCTACTTTTTAAGAAAAGGATAAAAAATATTAGTTTTCATTTAAGGTAATGGAAACTATAGTACTTGCCAGCAACAGTGAAGATTAAAGAAAAGGTTTCAAACTGAATGGACTTTTAGGTACTTTATCTATAATCATGTTTATGAAGCTCTTGACCATCTTCCTCCAAAAGATTAAAATTCTTTTAGTTGTAATAAACCTAAAAATTGACTTTGACACGTTAAAGACTTTTTGATCTTTGTTATTTTGAATGCTCTTGAAACATTATTCAGATAACTACATGAGTCATGAAACAGTATGAACATTTATCATATAACTACATGAGTTCATGAAACAGTATGAACATTTATCATATAACTACATGAGTCATGAAACAGTATGAACATTTATCATATATATACATATATATTTTATGTATATATATGTATATATTTTTGGAGGGGGTTATTGTGGATTGAACCACCAGGGGTACTTTACCACTGAGCTACATCCCTAGTCCCTTAGGTTGCTGAGGCTCTTGCTAAATTGCTACGGCTGGCCTTGAATTTGCAAGTGTGTACCACCACAGTGGACTAACTGACATAGTTTTAAATATCATTAATGGCCAGTTGGGCACACTAAACCCAGGCATTTAGAAGGCTGAGGCAGGAGGATAGCAAGATCAAGGCTTTATCTCAAAATAAAATTTGAAGAAAAAAAAAGGCTACTGATAAAGCTCAGTGGTAAAAGTACCCCTAGGTTCAGTTCCTAGCACTGCAAATACTGCTACTAATGATGATGATGTAAATAAAATTATATCAGTTGATATAAAAGATTTAACAGAAATCCCACTACTTTTTCCTTGAAGATGCATTTATTTAAACTTATACAAGCTTCATTTATTCCAGTGATAGTAAAATAAACTATTTACTTGGTCATCTTTTTACCGTAATAGAACTACAAATGATTGTCATCTCCCCCTACATTTTAAAACTATTTTTAGTTGTAGATGGACACAATATCTTCATTTTTATTTATTTTTATATGGTGTTGAGGATCCAACCCAGTGCCTCATACATGTGAGGCAACTGCTCTATCACTGAGCCACAACCCCAGCACCTCCCTACGTCTTAAATACAACTCAAGCTTAAGTAAGTATAAGTCTTTATACTTACCTCTGTTGCAGACAATGTCTGCAACAGAAGTATTTAGTGGGTTGCAATTGGAAGAGAAGGGTCAGAATGAATTGGGGAGTATATTTTCTCTGTCCAGCAGGAGTCAGTGGGGTTCTTATTATCATTAAGACTACAAACTAGGATGGTGTGGGAAGGAAGGCTTAAGCAAATGACAGCTCTGGGGGGCAGGCAGGGTTGGAATTCCTGGGTCCATTTCTCCTTAGTCCACTAAATTGAGAGGCAGATAATTATTTTATTTTTTTAAAAAGAGGTGGGTCTAATTGAAGTCAAGCAGGCAAGTTATTATAAAAAGTGTATACTATCTCTTACTGAAACATCCTAGATTCAGTGCTAGCTTTTCCCACAATGATTGTGTGGCAGAGAATACCCCACTAAACTATCATGTAAAAATAGTACCAAGTCAGTGCCTTTTTTTAAAAAATCATGCCAGGTGTGGTGGCACAAGTGTGTAATCCCAGCAACTTGTAAGGCTGAGGCAGGAGGATCACAAGTTTGAGGCCCCCCAGCCTCAGGAACTCAGTGAGAGCCTGTCTCAAAATAAATTTTAAAAAAAATTTAAAAGGGCTGGGGATGTGACTCAATGGTAAAGAGCTTCTGAGTTCAATCCCCAGCACCAAAAATAGATAAATAAATAAATTGCACAGTGTGAGATAAAGCACTTAACTTAGTACGCTAACCCACTTGTTTTAATCCTTATCTACATAAGTATTACTATACATAATATCAGAGTCAAGTCGTATTCATTTCTTACCTATCTTTCCACATGGATCTGCTCTAATAGTAAAATGAATAACATTAATATATTTTAGAAGAGGTATAAAATAAGGTAGTAAACATATTAGCAAATAACATCAAAAGTTGTCTAGATATTGACTTTATTGCTCTTGTACCCAGAACCTCCTGATCTAGAAAAGGGCTATTTAATGCCAGTCTGGAAAACTTAGACCCTGTCTCAAAATAAAAAGGGCTGGGGATGTAGTTCAGTGGTAGAATACCCCTGGGTTCAAACCCCATTACAAAAAAAAAAAAAAAAAAAAAGTCACATTTTTCATTACTTAAGTGAGAAACTTGAAGTGCCAGATGAGCTGTTGCTGAAGATGACACAGATAGTTGGGAGTAGAATGCAGATTGGTCTGATGTTTTTGAGAGTTGTCTTGTTTTGTTACTTAATTGTGACAAGTTATACATAAAATTTACCATCATAGATCTATGAATATAATACAGTATAGAGCACTTGCATAGCATTCACAATCCTGAATTCCACTGCAACTTTGCCAAAAAATTGTCATCTGTTTTTTATTTGTAAATGATTTTTAAATTTTTTAAATGTATTTATTTTTATTTTTTTATTTGTAAAATTACCATCTTAACCATTTTAAATGTATAGTTCAGTAGTGTTAAGTGCATTCACATTGTGCAGCCAATCTCCAGAAACTTTTTTTAAAAAAATATTTTTAGCAGTAGATGGACACAGTACCTTTATTTATTTTTATGTGGTGCTGAGGATCAAACCCAGTGGCTCATATGTACAAGGCAAGCACTCCACCACTGAGGTACAACTTCAGCCCCAGAAACTTTTCTTTTTGGCTTTGTGCTGGGGATTGAATACAGGGCTTCCACATGCCAGTACTCCTGAACTGTGTCATCCATTATGCCCAAAAGGTTGCTTTTTAAAAAATATTTATTTTTTAGTTGTAGTTGTCAATACTTTTATTTTATTTATTTTTATGTGGTGCTGAGGATTAAACCCAGGGCCTCACATGTGCTAGGTGAGCGCTTTACCACTGAGCCACAACCCTAGCCCCCCAAAAGGTTGCTTTAAAAAGAAGGATATTAAGCCAGGTATGGTGGCACATGCCTATCATCCCAGTGACTTTGGAGGCTGAAGGAGGAGGATCACAACTTCAAGGCCAGCCTTAGTACTTTAGCAAAGCCCTAAAATAACCTAGCAATAAAAATTGAAAAGGTTAACATTAAACAAAGACGAGTGGGGGGAGAGAAAGGGAGAGAGAAGGGAAAGCATATGGAAATGGTAGGAGACCCTCAATATTACACAAAATTACCTATAAGAGGTTGTGAGGGGAAAAGGGGGGGAAACAAGGGAGAGAATTGAACAACAGCAGATGAGGTAGAGAGGGAAGATGGGAAGCTAGGGGAGGGGGGATAGTAGGGGATAGGAAAGGTAGCAGAACACAACAGTCACTAATATGCCATTATGTAAAAATGTGAGTGTGTAACCGATGTGATTCTGCAATTTGTATTTGGGGTAAAAATGGGAGTTCATAACCCAATTGAGTCAAATGTATGAAAGATGATATATCACGAGCTTTGTAATGTTTTGAACAACCAATAAAAAAAAAGAAATAAATAAATTAATTTTAAAAAAATGAAAAGGGCTGGGTATGTTGCTGAGTGGTAAAGCAACCCTAGGTTCAATCCCCAGTACTCCCCACTAAAAAAAAAAAAAAAAAAAAAAAAGGATATTAAATCCTTTCCTCTACCCTCTAGTCAGAGAAATCTCTCTGAAGCACAAATGTGATCCTATCTTTCTCCAGTTTAAAACCCTTCACCAGTTCCCAGCGCCCTCAGGATCAAGTTCAAATTCCTTTACATGGATTGCCAAAGCTTTCATGATCAAGCTATTTCTAACCTTCTGTAGCCTCATCTGATGCTATTTTCTCCTCTGGTTCCTTGCTCATGCTTTACCTGTGAGCGTATAGGCCATGTTCTGTTCTGCCCTTGAGCTTGCTTCTGCCATTTCTCTTGCCCAGAACACCATTCTCCCACTGCCCCTGGCCTCCAAGATCTTCTCTTGCTAATCCTTTAGGACCTAGATTAAGTATAATTTCCTCCAGGAGGCTTTCCTTTATGCGTGCATGCATACACACACATGCGCACACACCCTTCCTGTGCTCTTCATAACACATTGTAATTACCTTTGTTATCATGGCAAATTGTAATTTCCTGTTTACTTGTGTTCCTGACTGATCTATTAACTTTTGGGGATCTGAAATCTGTATATTTGTTAATTGTATCTCTAGTGCCTAGAAGCTAATTAAGTGTTCAGTAAGTATTTGTTGAATAAAATTTAACTAATATGTTTTCAAACATGTTTTCAGAAGTGTTCCACAGGATGTTAGAAGGGATGTCATGAAAAAGAAGCTCCCTTAAATAAGGAATTGTGTTGTATATTTCCAAGATGGGTCATATACTATTCTGTACTATACGGCACTTGATGACAGTGGTTCTCAAATGCTGTTTTGCCTAACCTCAAGAATTGTAGACCCAGTGATTGGAGCCCAGGAATCTGTTATTTAAAAATGTCCCAGGGGCTGGGCACAATGGCACACACCTGTAATCCCTGCAGCTCAGGAGGTTGAGGCAAGAGGATTGTGGGTTCAAAGTCAGCCTCAGCAATTTAGTGAGGCCCTAAGCAACTTAGTAAGACCCTGTCATAATAAAAAAGAAAATGGATTAGGGGTGTGGCTCAGTGGTTAGGTGCCCCTGAGTTCAATCCTCAGTACAATCAATCAATCAATCAATCCATCAATCAATAAATAAATTTTAAAAATGCCTCAGGGACTGGGTATGTGGCTCAATGGTAGGACACTTGTCTAGCAAGCACAAGGCCCTGGGTTGATTTCCAGCACCACAAAAAAGAAAAAAGCCCCAAGTAATTCTCATTTGAGGTCAGATTTGGAAACCATTTGTATACAGTGATTAAAAGATAGTTAAAATATGTAATGCATTTGGAATAGTACCTAGCGCATAGTATCTATTACTGTTGACTGCTGCTGCTGCTGTTGTTATAATTATATATGACCACAAAATGCATTTTTGTGGCATATTTGTTAGCATTTCACAAAACCTATTTTGAGAAAAGCTAAATTAAGCAAGTACTTCACTTATGCTGATGACACCCAGATCTCAGTGTGGCCCTGATTTCAAGATTTGACTCTCTGCTGAGCATGGTGGTGCATGCCCATAATTCCAGCATCTCTGGAGGCTGAGGCAGAAAGACTGCAAGTTTAATGCTAGCCTCAGCAAATTAGCAAGGCCCAAAGAAACTTAGCGAAACCCTGTCTCAAAAGAAAAACCTAAGTGCTAGGGAATATGGCCCAGTGGTTTAGTACCTCTGGGTTCAATCCCCAGTACCACACACACACAAAGTTTTTGACTCTTTATTTGTACTATAAACACCTCAAAAATATCAGAAAATCCCAAACTCATGCCTCTTTTGTTGTGTGTTTTTCTCATACTGGAGGTCGAACCCAGGGATACTCTATGACTGATTTCCGTGCCTCACCCTTTTTTATTTTATTTTGAGACAGGATCTCAGTAAACTGCCAAGGCTGGCTTCGGCTAGCTTCAAACTTGAGGTCCTCCTGCCTCAACCTCTGGAGTAGCTGGAATTCCCACTGCAGAAGTGTCCCTCAAATCCATTCCTTTCTGGGATGCTATGGCCTTTTCATATGCTGCTACTTTTACCTAACTCTTTCTTTTCTGCATGGCAAATTGCTGCCCATGCATAAATGGCATTCCTCTGCTCTCCTCCCCCCACCCTCCCATGAATCCTTTGCCAACTAGCCTGAATAGAACTTGTTCATCTTGTCCCAGAGCACTTTGTACGTAACTTTATTATAGCACTTATCACTTTGTACTTTGTGCTTACCTCTATAGCCTCATCTCACATCCTCTCCCACTAGCATGCAAGCTATTTAAGAACACATGCCGTGTGTGAGTCATCCTGATATCTCTCAGCACTTGCGTGTCTAGAACACAGTAGGGGTTCAATAAATGTTCACTGAATTTAAACAACTAAGAAAGTCTAAAATTTGTATATTTATTTTCTCTTTGTGCAGAGATTAGTACTGAAGAGCAGCTAAGGCGCCTGCAAGAGGAGAAGCTTTGCAAAATCTGTATGGATAGAAATATTGCTGTAGTTTTTATTCCTTGCGGACATCTGGTCACTTGTAAACAATGTGCTGAAGCTGTTGACAAATGTCCCATGTGCTACACAGTCATTACTTTCAAGCAAAAGATTTTTATGTCTTAATCTAACTCCGAAGTGGGCATGTTATGTTCTTCTTATTACCCTGATTGAATATGTGATGTGAAGGAACTTTAAGTAATCAGCATTGAATTCCATTAGCATTTGCTTACCAAGTAAGAAAAAATGTTAACAGCAGTGTTTTAGTTGGCAACCTAAACTTTGAATATCTGGATCTTTCAGGTTATTAGCTGTATGATTTGTCCAGTTTTTTTAAATTGTTATTCAATTGAAACCCTAGACTAAGGAGCATTATATTAAAACTTATCACAGTGTATATTTGTAGTACACTGACTTAGTTTCTAAGTGTAAGTGAATTAATCATCCAAATTTTTCATTCTTTTCAGATAGGCTTAACAAATGGAGCATTCTGTATAAATGTGGAGATTAGAGTTAATCTCCCCAATCACATAATTTGTTTTGTGTGAAAAAGGAATGAGCTGTTCCACACTGGTGGAAAGATAGAGATTATATTTAGATGTTTGTCTTTGGTGTTTTAGGATTCTGTCCACTTTCTTTTAAAATTATAACATTTGTGGGAATTATTTTTTAAAGTGGTTTTGCCATTTCTAAAAGGTTATTTAATAACAAAACACCATCTAACCAACATGTACTGACACGGAAAGATGTCAAAGATATATTAAGTATAAAATGCACATGGCAAAACACTATGTATAGTCTGAGCCAAATCAAGGTGTGCATATTTTGTATCTGTACAGAACAAAAGATTTGGAAAGATGTACCAAACTGTTAAATGTGTTTTTTTCTTGAGGGGTGGGGGGTTGGGTCCCAAAGGGGTTTTTAGGGGCCCTTCACTTTCTATTTTTTTTTCATTTTGTTCTGTTTTGAATTTTTATAAGTATGTATTACTTTTGTAATCAGAATTTTTAGAAAGTATTTTACTGATTTAAAGGCTTAGGCATGTTCAAACGCCTGCAAAACTACTTATCACTCAGCTTTAGTTTTTCTAATCCAAGAAGGCGGAGCAGTTAACCATTTTGGTGCCAATGTAAAATTTAAATGTTTTTATGTTTTACCTGCCTTGTGGATGAAAAATATTTCTGAGTGGTAGTTTTCTGACAGGCAGACCATGTCTTCTTATCTTGTTTCAAAATAAATATTTCTGATTTTGTAAAATGAAATATAAAATATGTCTCAGATCTTCCAATTAATTAGTAAGGATTCATCCTTAATCCTTGCTAGTTTAAGCCTGCCTAAGTCACTTTACTAAAAGATTCTTTGTTAACCCAGTATTTTAAACATCTGTCAGCTTTTGTAGGTAAAAGTAGAAGCATGTTTGTACACTGCTTGTAGTTATAGTGACAGCTTTCCATGTTGAGGTTTCCATATCATCTTGTATCTTAAAGTTTCATGTGAGTTTTTACTGTTAGAATGATTAAGATGTATATAGGACAAAATGTTAGTCTTTACCTAATTTTTTTTTTGTTTTCTTGACTAGTAATAGTAGTAGATGTTTCATCTTAAAAAATGTTCTCTTGAAATTCTAACTCTTGGAAATTATAAAATACTGACGAGAAGAATAGTTGTTTAAAAATATTTTTAAGAACTTGAATAAGAGTCAGTATAGGTAAAAAATGAAAGTTTTAAAATTCTTCATAGAACACCCAGGATTTACATTATAAGATGATCATGACAGACCTATTATAGAGGGAAGTGAGGCATTTTAATGCAGAGATTAGTTTGAGAGAGAAACTATTAAAGATATATATTTTCATTGTATTTTCTAAGAGAAAGTATTGTTATAGTCTCCAAACCTCTGTTCACTACTATGTTAAGTGATATTCATTTAAAGCATTGAAAATTAAAATAAGAACTTTAAGAATTAAGTAATGACTGCCCTATTTCTGTTTTATTATATAAATTCTCAGTTATTCTTCTTTGTACTATCTTCTACTTAGGTTTGATGATATAGTCATTAAGTTAAATTAGATCTGTATAGTCTAAGCTTTGAATTTAAATGTACGTTTAAAGCATTCAACAGGGGAGAAAAGTGTTAAAGTTTTTGAAACATGTTTTCCAGGACACTTAAGCTCCAAGTCATGTAGGTAGCTCAATCTAGATGTTAGTCAAGGACTAAATTGTTTTAACATAAGGCTTTTCCTGTTCTAGGAGCCTCAGTTCATTATAACTCTGCTTTTAAAATTTGTGTTTAGAGTTAAGCAAGACCTCTTTTTTTTTCCTTTCTCTCCATGAGTTGTGAAATTTAATGCATGAAGCTGAGGTGGCTAACAAGTTTATTTTAAGAATTGTTTAGAAATGCTATTCCTTCAGGTTCTTAAAATCACTCAGCACTCCAGCTTCTAATCAAATTTTTGGAGACTTACCAGAGTTTGTCTCTATCCGCATCACAAAAAGCACTGGTTCCTTTCCATCTAATTGTACAAAAATTTGTCACTTGCAAGGTCAAAAATACAACCAGATCTAAATATCCCCCCCACATACACACACAGAGTTCTCAGTATCTACATGTAGATGTTTGTTTTCTGTGCAACATTCACTCTGGGATTTTTCAAGTCACCACCTATTTTACTACATTTTAGTCATGTAAAGGTTGAAGTTATTTGTAATAAATAGGCATCTTCATTTGTAATAATTTAGTGTCCTGATCAAAAACTTGGCTTAATTTCTAAGAAATGAGTTTAACATTTGTAAAATAAATTCCAGTTTATTAATTAGTGGCTTTATATTGCCTTTCCTGCTAGATTTGTTTTTTTTTCCCCTCCCTTTGGTTAGGGACTGAGATTGGGTGGGGTGAGTGTAGTGAGTGTGTATAATAATATTTGGCCATGTGTATTTTGATATTTTGTTATTTTTGTTGTTATTTAAATTTTAGTAGTTTTTTTTTTTTCTGTTTCCATTTTAGTGGATAAAATATGTGTTTTGAACCCTCGGAAAGGAAACTATACCACCCCAGCATTAGTTGTATACATTGTTCCCTTTAGATCCAAATTATGGTTTTATTTCTGATTTCTTACATGTCAAATGAGAAGGGGGTGGAATGAGGGTAGAATAAATTGGATAAGTTGTGTCCTTGCCATTAGAATGGGAAGGAATTGTTTGGTAGATATAGCTATTTTTAGTCAAATTGGTCTTTTTTTAAAAAAAAAAAGGTAGCCATTTCTTCATCTATAAAATGAGAATAATACCTGTCTTCTAAGGTCATGAGAGTTCAAGGAGACCATATCTGTAAAAGCATCTGCTACATTAATTCCTGTCCTAACACCCCCCTCTGCAGGTTTGCCCTGAATAAGATATTTGAACTAAAACTTAGAAAAAAATCTTACATGGTAACTCTTTCAGTAACTGTTTCTTGTCCTTTTTTGTTTCTCATAGTGTAGATGTAAACTGAAATAATAGGTCATCAAACCCTTTAAATATCTAAATTATTTTAAAGTATTTTGAAAAAAAATATTAAATTCAGTTGAGCTTTCCTAGTAGAAACAATTGACTTATTCTCACCCTAATAATCCATTTCAATTTGAACCTTATACACTTAACACAATGTAGATTTCTTTCTTGGTATAATAAAGTCATAATGTCAGGGTTCGAAGTGATTTTAGAGAGGTCCCCCTCATTTCGCAGGTGAAGCAACTGAGACTCAGAGGAGAGGTAATTTGTTCAAAGCTACATAGCTAATCAGTGGCAGAGCCCTGACTGGGACATAGTTTGAAGGTGAGAAATTCACCAAAGCTACTTGTCCTGGGATGGGAGGTCTCAAATGTTTATTTTTCAAACTATTCTTTCTGCTATGCCCTAATTTTCACTAAATATTAATTGACACTTTATAACTGATACATAGGACAATCTTAAATATATATGTTTTCAAATTAAACAATACTACATTAATGTTTGGTTGGTAAGATTGTATTTTGAAGCCTGACATTTGCAGATATGCATACAGATTTTTGGCATTTACTACGTTTATTATGTATCATTAATGTAACATTTAAAATTACTATACAAGTATATTTTGCCATTTTGTTTGTACTTAGTAACAAATTTGCATTTTTGATTTGATGTAACAAAGGCTTTGATATAATTTCTGTTAGATTCTGCATTTTTTATTACTGTTATACTTAACCTCAAGAATGACTGATTCATATTGTATTAGTATTGTGAATAATCATGTGAAATGTTTTGAGACAGAGTACTATATTTGTGAATATAATTTTATGGCTTTTTTTTCACTTAGTAGGAACCTTCCCATCAGTATGGAAAACTAAGAAAATTGCTTTTTGCTGTATAATCTGGCATTTGTTGTAGATTAAAGCTTATTTTTCTGTGAATAAAACTTATTCAATAAAGTACTATTCTTTAAAATGATATTACTTTGCATTTGTTTTACTGTCTTAGAAAAAAATAAAATAAGCTGGGCATGGTGGCTCACGCCATGAGGCAGGAGGATCAAGAGTTCAAAGCCAGTCTTAGCAACTTAGCAAGATCCTAAGCAATTTAGCAAGACCCTGTCTCAAAATAAAACATAAAAATGGCTGGGAGTGTGGCTCAGTGGTAAATCACCCCTAGGTTCAATCCCTGGTACTAAAAAAAAAAAAAAGAAAGAAAGAAAGAAAGAAAAATGGCCCTCTCACCTTTACTAAAGTGGGTGCTAGAGTGTAGCTTATTGGTAGAATGTACACCTGGCATGTGTGAGGCACTGGGTTCAATCCCCAGCACCAAAAAAAGATCTTTAAAAATAAGAGCAATATTTAGCACCCCTCTCCATACAAAGATTAGTCTGATTATTGAAAGAGGTAGGATAGTCACTATAACAAAGCTCCAACAAAGTGAATAGCAATGAACCTAAAAAATCATTACTCTTTTGAAGCATTGAGCAAAGAAGGATTTTTTGTGAGTTTGAAGAAGTATATGCCCTGAGAGTTTCAGAAGCTGGGAGCAATTGAATGGGATAAAGAGCAAGGGAATAAAGGATCCTTTGGCAGAGAGAAATTTAGAAGTAGATATTTCAAGTGGCTATTCCTCTACCCCTTCCTGCCCACAATGGAGGTTCCTAAATTAAGAGGTATATTTCAGGCTTCATCTATGTAGGGACTGGTTATCTAATCTTTGACAGTGCTATCACTGTATCTGAGATAAACCAGAACTTTGTTGAGTGCAGTCGACAAAGTTTTTTTCTTACACATCAGCTACATTTCTTTCTCTTTGGGGGAGGAAGGGGGTGCTGGGGGATCGAACCCAGAGTGTTCTACCTCTGAACTACATCCCCAGGCATTTTCATTTTTGAGATAGTTCTCACTAAGTTGCCCAGGCAGATTTCAAACTTGTAATCCTCCCACCTTAGCTTCTAGTCACTGTTACTGGACACATTTTCAGTTAACATTGAAGATACAAATTTTCTTTTTCCTTTTTTTCCCCAGTACTGGAGATTGAACCCAGAGACACTCTACAATGAGCTACATCTCCAGCCTTTTTAATTAATTTATTTATTTCCGAGACAGAGTCTTGCTAAATTGCTGATACTGGCCTCAAATTCGTGATCCTCCTGTCTCAGCTTTCCTAGTTACTGGGATTACAGGCATGAGCCATCATGTCTGGCAGAAGATGTGAATTTTCAAAGCTATGACATATATTTTCAAACTTATACAAAAGTAGAAAGTATAATGAACCTATGGTACTCATCTGTCAACTTCAATAATTATCAACATTTTGTTAGCCTTGTTTCATCTAGGCTTCCCCCAACCCCTGAATATGCTAAAGTATCCATTCATTTCTCATATAATTACCTATTTAACTGTCTCTAACAGAAAAGAAAAAATTTCACGTAAATGTGTCAATTTTAACTCGCTGTGTGTGTGTGTGTTATTGGTGATTGATCCCAGGGATGCTTTTACCGCTGAGCTACATCCCCAGCACTTTTTATTTTTTTTTTAATTTTGAGACAGGGTCTTGATAAATTGCTTAGGACCTTGCTAAGGTGGTGAGGATGGCCTCAAACTTCTGATCCTCCTGCCTCAGCCTCCTGAATCATTGAGATTACAGGCATGCACCACTGACCCTGACTTGACTCACCACTCACCACTATTATTGCTGAATTTTAATGGACATTTAAACCATCAAAATCAACTTTAAGGTGGGCATGGTAGTGCATGCCTATAATTCCAATGACTTGGGAGGCTGAGGGAGTAGGATTCCAGGCCAGCCTCAGCAATTTAGCAAGACCCTTAGCAACCTAGCGAGACACTGTTTAAAAATAAAAAGGGTGGTCTGGGGATATAGATCAGTGATACAGCAGTTGCCTATCATGCGGGAGGCCCAAGGTTTAATCTTCAGTGCCACAAAAATAAATAAAAAGCATCACTGGGTTCAATCTCCAGTATCCCCCAATCAAATTTATTTCCCCTTTCCCCCTTATTTGAAGATTAAGGGAAATGAAACACCCAAACTTAATAGTGCCATAAAAATTGCTTTGCCTGATGGTGTAGCTCAGTGGTAGAGCACTTGCCTGCACTAGGATGTGAAAGTCCCTGGGTTGGATCTCCAGCACTGAAATAACAAGCTTGAAAGCACTAGAATATTATATGGGGTCTGAATCCAGAAAGAACTAAATGGTTGCAGTTTGTAAGTCAAATCAAATTAATTTCATTCTCAGGGAATGAATATATCCTCATCTTTTTTATTTTCCCTATAACTCGTTGTTGAACCAGTACTGTATTTTTCTCATGTTACCAAAACATGGGGTATAAAAATGCAACAACTTGCCTAGCACACACAAGGCCCTAAGCTGGATCCTAGCACCACTAAAAATAAATAAATAAAAATCATATAAGTCCTTTCTGATATTACTTCTTGAAAAAGTTTTGGATACACAGTACATTTTGAACTTTGTAATGAATATTTCTTCAACCCTAGCATTGCTGAGTTCAGAATAGCCTCATCTTGCTCATTGCCATTAAACTATCCTCCAGTCAAGCAGTGAAAGAGTTAAGTATTTGAAGGCTCCCTCTTAAGTGCTAGTACAACAGCAACCAGTTGAGATTGTACAGAGCAGATCTGCACTTCTTGAGAGAGCCAAAGCTTTGGTGAAATGTGAGCCTTTAATTTGGAATGAGACAATTTCAGAATTGGAGTCAGCCTCTCTAATTCATAATAATTAACAGTTCTGTACTTTTGAGTTCTGAAAATTTTAAAGTAATCTATAACACAAAAGGATGAAATATAGTAGGGTGAAGGTCTTGGCCACTAAAGGTCTTTAGAGTTGTATAAATCCACACTTGCAGGTCTATATTGGTCTCTACTGTGACCAAAATAAAAATCTTGAGAGAGGTGAGGCTAGATAACAGTCAGTGTCCTCACTTTTGTCTTCCCCCAAACCACTGATTTATTTATAACAAATAAGTGTGTAACCTAGGCATTTGTATAGATTTGGTCTGCTTCAAATTTAAGTCTTATTCCAGTTAATTTGAGATTTTTTCAAGATTCTATATGTACCATAATTTATGACAATAGCATAAGAACTCTTTTGCATGGGGCTTATACTTGTTGATTTGAAGCTCATGAATAGATATTGGAAGGATACTGGTTAAAAACTAGTAGCAGATTATGTTAAGTGAAGCTAGCCAATCCCTAAAAAACAAATGCCAAATGTCTTCTTTGATATAAGGAGAGTAACTAAGAACAGAGTAGGGACGAAGAGCATGAGAAGAAGATTAACATTAAACTGGGATGAGAGGTGGGAGGGAAAGGGAGAGAGAAGGGAAATTGCATGGAAATGGAAGGAGACCCTCAGGGTTATACAAAATTTCATACAAGAGGAAGTGAGGGGAAAGGGGAAAATAATACAAGGGGGAGAAATGAATGACAGTAGAGGGGGTAGAGAGAGAAGAGGGGAGGGGAGGGGAGGGGGGATAGTAGAGGATAGGAAAGGCAGCAGAATACAACAGACACTAGTATGGCAATATGTAAATCAATGGATGTGTAACTGATGTGATTCTGCAATTTGTATACGGGGTAAAAATGGGAGTTCATAACCCACTTGAATCAAAGTGTGAAATATGATATATCAAGAACTATGTAATGTTTTGAACAACCAACAATAAAAAAATTAAAAAAAAAAACTAGTAAGGAATAGAAACCAGGGCTGGGTTGTAGCTTAGTGGTAGATACTCATGTAGCATACAAGAGGCCTTGGGATTCGATTCGCAGCACTGCCAACAAACAAACAAAAGCCCGGGAGAAATAAAACTTCAATTGTTATTTTTCCCTCTTAATTTCCCAGAAGAATTTAAATTTGCAAAGAAAGACTAGGATATAATTAATCAAGATATTATATATTGAAACTGATCTTTCTTCAAAATCTAAATTATTATTTCGATAGATTCTTTTTGGCAGTGCTGGGGATGGAACCCTCAGACTTACACATTTTAGGCAAGTGCTCAACCACTGAATTGTATCCCCAGCCCCCCAAATATATATTTTACATGCAAAACAACAGATATTCATTTGTTATGTTAACTTTTATTTTGATAGTCATTTTTTCTTTGTGTGTGTGTGTTTATCTTTATTCCGTTACTAGGTACTAGGTACTAGGGATTTCTTTTTAATTCCATTAGCTTATATAAGGGCTTTGCATTTTTTGGCTAAGGCATCAAAAAATGTATTTTCTCATTAAATATTGGAATTTTGTTTGGCAGAGATTAGGCTCTGCTTCTGCCAGATTACTGGCAATTGTATTGAAGGGAAAAAAGGACATATGAGTATGTTCATGAGCACATAACTGATGTTTCAGAGGAATTAGTACTAAAAACAAAAGACTGCAAATACCCCCATAAAATTAATCCAAAGTAGAGAAAAACTTGCTAAAACCATTTTATTTTTCATTAAACAAACGTCATACATGGATTTCTTAGTAGAAATTTAACAAAAGACTGTGTTAATCATTAAGTAAAGAGAGTGACCTAACTCATCTGGAAAAACCTGTTTTTCCTTCAACTAGATTTTTTTGTGTGTTTTTGATTACTAAAATGAATGTACTCTGCTGCCCTTATTCCTTTCTTAGTTTGCTGTTGTAAACTTTTCAAATATGCTATATTTAATTTGATCTATAAGAACTAGGTCAAAAAGGGCTGGGGTTGTAGCTCAGCAGTAGAGCGCTTGCCTATCATGTGTGAGACACTAGGTTTGATTCTCAGCATCATATACAAATAAATAAATTAAAAAGATATTTTGTGGGGCTGGGGATGTGGCTCAAGCGGTAGCGCGCTCGCCTGGCATGCGTGCGGCCTGGGTTCGATCCTCAGCACCACATACAAAGAAAGATGTTGTGTCCGCCAAAAACTAAAATATAAATATTAAAAAATTTCTTTCTC